CAACAGAGATTCAACCCAAATAATACAGATTACATTGAAATAATTGAGGGGTTCAAAGTGGGGATCACTATATTTTCTCTCATGCCTTCCATACTGGATTATTATTTCTCTTTATTAATTCAGCCTTATGAACAGGTAAATACCTGCTCTTAATCGTGGGAAATTTTTTTTTTTATTCTATATCATGGAGTGAGCGTAGCATGCAACAGATTCAACCCAAATAATACAGATTACATTGAAATAATTTGTGGACGCAAAGTGGGGATCACTATATTTTTCTCTCATGCCTTCCATACTTTTTTATTATTATTTCTCTTTATTAATTTAGCCTTATGAACAGGTAAAACCACCTCTTAAACGTGGGAAATTTTTTTTATTCAATATCATGGAGTGAGCGTAGCATGCAACAGATTCAACCCAAATAATACAGATTACATTGAAAATAATTGAGTGGGTTCAAAGTGGGGATCACTATATTTTCTCTCATGCCTTCCATACTGGATTATTATTTCTCTTTATTAATTTAGCCTTATGAACAGGTAAATACCTGCTCTTAAACGTGGGAAATTTTTTTTTTTTTTATTCTATATCATGGAGTGAGCGTAGCATGCAACAGATTCCACCCAAATAATACAGATTACATTGAAATAATTTGTGGGTTCAAAGTGGGGGATCAATATATTTTCTCTCATGCCTTCCATACTGGATTTTTATTTCTCTTTATTAATTCAGCCATTATGAACAGGTAAATACCACCTCTTAAACGTGGGAAATTTTTTTTTTTTCCTATATCATGGAGTGAGCGTAGCATGCAATGGATTCAACCCCAAATAATACAGATTACATTGAAATAATTGAGTGGGTTCAAAGTGGGGGATCACTATATTTTCTCTCATGCCTTCCATACTGGATTATTATTTCTCTTTATTAATTCAGCCTTATGAACAGGTAAATACCTAATACAGATTACTTAAATCATGGGGAAATTTTTTTTATTCTATATTCATGGAGTGAGCGTAGCATGCAATGGATTCAACCCAAATAATACAGATTACATTGAAATAATTGAGTGGGTTCAAAGTGGGGGATCACTATATTTTTCTCATTTCCATACTGGATTATTATTTTTCTTTATTAATTCAGCCTTATGAACAGGTAAATACCTGCTCTTAAACATGGGAAATTTTTTTTTTTATTCTATATCATGGAGTGAGCGTAGCATGCAATGGATACCACCCAAATAATACAGATTACATTGAAATAATTGAGTGGGTTCAAAGTGGGGATCACTATATTTTCTCTCATGCCTTCCATACTGGATTATTATTTCTTTTATTAATTCAGCCTTATGAACAGGTAAATACCTGCTCTTAAACGTGGGAAATTTTTTTTTTTTTATTCTATATCATGGAGTGAGCGTAGCATGCAACAGAATACAACCCAAATAATACAGATTACATTGAAATAATTGAGTGGTTTCAAGTGGGGGATCACTATATTTTCTCTTCTATTTGTTCCATACTGGATTATTATTTCTTTTTATTAATTCAGCCTTATGAACAGGTAAATACCACCTCTTAAACATGGGAAATTTTTTTTTTTCTATATCATGGAGTGAGCGTAGCATGCATGCAACAGATTCAACCCAAATAATACAGATTACATTGAAATAATTGAGGGGTTCAAAGTGGGGGATCACTATATTTTCTCTCTATGCCTTCCATACTGGATTATTATTTCTCTTTATTAATTTAGCCTTATGAACAGGTAAATACCACCTCTAAAAAACGTGGGATTTTTTTTTTATTCTATATCATGGAGTGAGCGTAGCATGCAACAGAGTTCAACCCAAATAATACAGATTACATTGAAATAATTGAGGGGTTCAAAGTGGGGGATCACTATATTTTCTCTCATGCCTTCCATACTGGATTATTATTTCTCTTTCATTAATTTAGCATTATGAACAGGTAAATAACCACCTCTTAAACGTGGGAAATTTTTTTTTTTTGGATTCTATAATTCATGGACAGTGAGCGTAGCATGCAATGGATACTATTCAAATAATTGGATTACATTGAAATAATTGAGAAGGTTCAAAGTGGGGGATCACTATATTTTCTCTCATCCTTCCATACTTTATATTATTATTTCTTTTTATTAATTTAGCCTTATGAACAGGTAAATACCACCTCTTAAACATGCTTAAATTTTTTTTTTATTCTATATTCATGGAGTGAGCGTAGCATGCAATGGATACAACCCAAATAATACAGATTACATTGAAATAATTGAGTGGGTTCAAAGTGGGGATCAATGTATTTTCATCTTCTATTTGTTCTTTATAACAGGTATTTATTTTTTTTTAATTTAGCATTATGGACAAGAAAAATAACCACCTTGAAAAACATGGGAAATATATTTTTATTCATTATTCATACAGTGAGCGTAGCATGCAATGGATACTATTCATATAATTGGGATTTCCTTGGAAATGTTTGTGGAAGCAAAGTGGGGATCAATGTATATTTCTCTTCTATTTGTTACTTTATTTTTATTTCTTTTATTAATTTAGCATTATGGACAAGAAAACGTGGGAACCATATCATGGAAAAAACATGCTTACCATATAATTTTTTATTCAAATTCATACAGTGAGCGTAGCATGCAATGGATACTATTCATATAATTGGGATTTCCTTGGAAATTTTTTTTTTATTCAAATGGGTGATCAATGTATATTTCTCTTACTAGATTACATTGAAATAATTTGTTCTTTATATTTGTTTTACTTTCATTAATTTAGCATTATGGACAAGAAAACAGGTCCACCACCTCTAAAACATGCTTACATATATTTTTTATTCAAATTCATACAGTGAGCGTAGCATGCAATGGATACTATTCATATAATTGGGATTTCCTTGGAAATGTTTGTGGACGCAAAGTGGGTGATCAATGTATATTTCTCTTCTATTTGTTCTTTATATTTGTATTTACTTTCATTAATTTAGCATTATGGACAAGAAAGAACCACCTCTAAAACATGCTTACATATATTTTTTATTCAAATTCATACAGTGAGCGTAGCATGCAATGGATTTTCTATTCATATAATTTAGATTTCCTTGAAAACATGAAGTTTGTAGGACGCAAAAATGGGATTTCCTTGAATTTGTGGATGTATCAATTTTCTCTTCTATTTGTTCTTTATATTTGTATTTACTTTCATTAATTTAGCATTATGGACAAGAAAGAACCACCTCTAAAACATGCTTACATATATTTTTTATTCAAATTCATACAGTGAGCGTAGCATGCAATGGATACTATTCATATAATTGGGATTTCCTTGGAAATGTTTGTGGAAGCAAAGTGGGTGATCAATGTATATTTCTCTTCTATTTGTTCTTTATATTTGCATATAATTTTTAAATTTAGCATTATGGACAGGCAAGAGCCTCCTCTTAATACTGCTTACAATTATTTTTCATTCGAATTCATACAGTGATCATGCATGCAATGGATAATATTTATATATTTGGGATTTCATTTCTGTACCTATGGTATGGTGATGTGAGGCGAGACAGTTGATGCTTGTAACTATACATTAATTAGCGATGAGTTCAATGCTTTTTGCGAGGGTGAATAAAGGAACGCGACTTGCCTTGTCCCCGCCAAAAAAGAGCCCGTATTTGCTTAGTATGTAAAGCTACTGCAGTTGAAATGAGGGAGAGAAAAAAGCACTTACCGCTCTGCCGTAATCCATCCTCGGCCATATAATGTAAAAGAATGAGGGGGGACTGGCATCGCATTTTTATGCAATAACGATGCAATGCATTATGGGACATGGACACAATGAATTATGGGATCACATGAAGACGCAAGGGATTATGGGTACATGAACAACTATAAAAACAACTACTTTTTTCCGAGTCGGGGAGTTCGAGGGACGTTCACGGTTGACGGCTAGAACGGGCAGTTAGTGTGATTTGGAGACAGAACTCAAGAAGGAACGACTCAAGTTTGAAATACCAGCTGGGAGAGCTTGAATTTACTCGCTGGTTACTGTTTTCTTCATTCGCCTTATTAATTGTCATAGCAAAACAGGGTGCGAATGGCAATGGGGATCTTCTGAAAGTGAAGCGTACATCGGCATCTGATGGATACAAATGCATCTTTGGGATAAGCACTTGCTCCCCTTTACCGCAGCCAGTTATAATTTTGTCCTCAATAATGTTTTGGTGTAGGGCCTGAATAACCATCCTTGTCCCATTACAGAGTTTCTGTAGACGCAGGTTTCTAAGCAACATAACCGGGATTCCCACTTTAAGTTCCAGAATGTGAGGAGGAAGACCAGCGGGGTGGAGGCTGTTTAAGAACTCCACTGAAAAGTTCGCCATTTCAGCGGGGTCTGGAGTTCTGTCAATGGATTTGTTAACGTGCAACATCCCTGGCACAGTTTCCAGAAGCTGTCTATTAAGGGTTGTCACAGTGGTGTTTTTTGGGGCAAGAATTGCCCGCCCAGCAAGCCACTTAATATTGTTGTAGTTGGTTTGAAGATCAGGAAAAACTGATTCCCTGAGTGTTGCTGGCGTTGTGACCACTGTAGACAACCCTTGAACGTTTACAAATCCATTAGTGTCCCCTGGAATAATACCAAGGGCTAATAATGAATTCAAAAATTCGGCGGACCCAACATCGCCAGTTATGTGTGCACGCATGTTGGTGTTAAGGTGCAATGGTCTAACAGTGGGCCAAAGTTGTGACGATTTCAAGCACGCTCGAATAGCGTCGGCCCTTGTCACCTTAGGTACAACGGGGAGGGTCTGGCGAAAGTCACCCGATAGAAGGACAGTTATACCTCTCATAAGGTCATCAGAGTTTCGAATATCCTTCAGAGAGCCTCGAGTGCCCTTTGGTCTATGAGAAGTTTTGGCTCATTTGTTGTGACATAGGCGTTGAGCTCCTCAACAGAGTAGCATGTCTCCCGCACAATCTCAGGTGAGAGACTGGAGGAAGCCACACAATCTGGAGTTGGAAGCCCAGTAGCGGCGAGAGATCCCCCCCATTTCAATAAACAGGTTCTCAATGATTATAAGCGCCCTGTTGTAAATTCCATCGTTGAATGTAAGAGCCATTGTTGGACAGCAGTTGCGCTCTCTGAGTATGTCTTCGGACAAAAAGCCCTTGTATTTGTCCCAAAGTGATTTTGGATCACTGGATTCGCACATTTGTAAGATTATTGTGAAGAGGTGGCGCAAAGCAGAGGGCATTTTTAAAAGAGCTCCCTCAGCCACTGTGGCATCCCACTGGCTGTCGTCTTCCAAAAGGCCGAGACGGAGGCAGGCCTCACGAAAAGTGTCACATAAAACTCCATTAACCGCCCGTAAGTTATTGTAGCTCGTTGGACCATTAACTTCGTGAAAAAGGAGTCGCAAGTAAAAACATTCTTGTCGCGATGGGGGAACCGTGAATACCCTTCCGAGTGAGGCGTCTTTTTTGACGCCTGGATAGCCCTCGACGTTGGCACCGCACTTCCGCCAAGCCCAGGTGTTCTTTTTTGTCCACACGTAGTATGAAGGCACGTCTGGGTACAGTAGAGTCCTAGCAAACTCGTCCTGTCGACAAAGTTTGAAGAACACTGTGTCTTTGGTACGCGCAGCCACATCCATTGCTGTATTCGCAGAAAAATAACGAAGTTCGTCGTTTTCTAGGTGCACAGCAACCTGGACGATGGCTGGGACCGTCGAATGGACGTTGCCGCAACTTTCACTGCGTTACGTGCGGTTTTCTCAGTCGTGGTCTCCTGGGACCGTCGAATGGAAGTTGCAGCGGCGAAGGCTGCATTGCGAGTAGCTTTTCGATGCGGGTTCTGTCGTGACCGCAAAAGCGCTTGTGATGAAGCCGCTTTTTTGTTGTCTTGCAAGCGTTTAGGTAGTTTCCTCTTACTTTTCGACGAATATGTGTAAACCGATTTGCAGTACAAACGGTAGTTACGCTCACCAAGCGTTTCATGTGACAAAACATACTGCCTCCGTTGAGATTGACTGGAAAGCCTCAAAGAGGCCTCTACCTCGGTTTCCTCCTCACGCTTTCTCTTTGCCATAGAGGCTCTTTTAGAACGCCTGGTATTTTGGCACGCTTAGCAAAACTGCCGGGTCGGTCATCGCCACGGCACTCAGAAGAGTACAAAGCAGAGGTTGAAGTAGACGCCAGCCGCTTCTCCCCCAAGGAGGCGCACTCAATGGAATCCTGCTCCCGTTTCCTCTTAGCGGGTGAGGCTTTTTTAGAACGCCTGCTAAGGTTGCCTCGCCTGGGTGTTTTTGCAGCCTTTGCAGAGCTGCCGGGTTGGTCAGAGGTTGAAGTAGACGCTATATGATCATCTGTAACTGGAGTTATTATGTGCTCCTCCGCAGTCGCCTGATCTGTATGTGTAACGTTAACGGTATTAGGGGTCAGTTGCTGACGTGCGGATGTTCGTCGTGTAGAAGCCATTTGAAGGGTTGTAGAAATGCAGTGTAAGAATGCGAATAGAAGTTGATGCCGAAGCTGAAGCGGTGCAACCTCGTTGTATACGAAAACTAAAAATGCAGTGGAGCGGTATGGAAAAAGCTTCTCCTAGCTATGGGCCGTGCTTTCTGGCAGCACGAAACCGTCGCTGTAGGAAGAGGTTACGCAATCAAAACGTTGAAGCGTTGAAGGTTTAAAAGTAATGAGGTGTACTGGGCCGCGTAGTAAAGGCAGAATAGAAGTAACTTGCAGTTAACTGTCTAATAGCAAAACTGAACTACGAAAAGGTAGAAATAGGTATGGAACGCTAAGATGGACTGGGCTGCGCAGTAGAGACAGCACGCGGGGATAAAATGGGTAATGCAAACGTTTAAGCAAATAGGTAACTTGCAGTAGCAGGAATCTGTCAATTAATCCAAGGACAGATGCGTTAATGGTGATCAAATCAAGACGTGAGTGCGGGTACAGCCGCACTGAAGGTATTTAAAGGGATCGTGACTTGTCACTGATTGGTGTAGCCTGGACAATGGCCATGATTTAGACCAATGAATGAACTCACGCAAAATGGAAGATGCTAGCGCGCATTCACGCACGCGCGCATGATTTGGCAAGCGCAAGGCTTGGCCGTAAATGGGGTCAAGCTGCCTGCTGCATATGCAGCCTGGCTCTAACGCACGTGATGCCGGCGATGAGAATGCAAGGAGCTGCGATGAAGCGTTTGCTCGTTTGGTTTGTGCGACAACGAAAAGCCGCTAACCGTTTGCCGGCATTAGCTTTGAAATGGATTGGGAGGAAGCCCTGTTGCTTTAGCGCAAAAACTCCTCGTCAGGTCTGGGATGCACCATGGGCTAGGGGAAAAGGTTTAAAGAATTTGGAATTCACATACGTATGAACTCTTACGAACGTCTCCAAAATACGAATGTCCACACACACACTATGTTAACTATGTGCTTTGTAATTTGTTGATAATACATATGTAGTGGTGCTGTAAGTATTGTTGGCTAGGGTCACCGTGAATATAATAAAGAAGGAAGACTGTGTTCTTGTAAAACAACACCCCACATGAATAATGTACAACAAACACGAGAGAAAAATAATCAAGCTCAATGAACATTAATAATATATTGTATTAACAATGATATACAAATATCAACAATAGTATAAAAAAAGTTGTTCCCCTTTTTCCGTAATAAAAAGGGTAAATTTAGCTAAATAAATGTTAAGTACAAAATTGACTGTAATTTAACTACAAGGTTCAATTGAAGTCTTAGCTAAATAAAGAATAGTTCCACAGTGTTTTACCAGTGTAGAAAATTGTAATGTTCATGAGTGATATTAATAGGAATCAATATGATTACTTGGTTGAGAGATAATTAAGAATTAAAAATGTCAATATAGCGCCGTGCCTTGCTTTCCAAGAATTGAACTGCTACTGCCCGTGTTGGCAAACAGCGAGAGTTTATATAGCAAGCTTTAGGCTCAAGATGGCTTAGCGCGAAAATAGAGAAAAGATACTAAAATACGTGATTGGTCAGGAAATGGACCAATCCGTGATTTTAGAAAAAATTTTGAATTACCTGCGATGGTTAAATTGTCCTATGATAAGTATCATGTATTTATTATCCAATAAGAATAAAGAAAACGGAGGTGTGGCACATGTAAGTGATTCCCACATTACCCCGTCCAGATTGAAAAGTCAGTGAAAGAAGAGTTTTCAATATGTAATAAAAGTCCTGAACTTCTTAGGCCAGTGGACAGTCCGTCCGCTAGCAGTCCTAGTAGGTGCTGGTGACGAAAGCTGAGGGCTGTCTAGCGAAGGGCTCTTAGGTTGATTGGTTGATCCATCGCGTTCAATGCATGCAGGTTTCAAGCGATCGATGGAGAAAGTCGATCGGCCGTGGTTAGTCTGTAAAGTATAATATTTATCGGTCCAGGCAAGGACACGAAATGGACCCGCATAATGTGGTGTCAGTGGCTTTCTAACAGAATCCTGTCGTACAAAAAACGTACTCGCATTCCAGTAAGGAAGGAGGTACATAAACGTCACGTGAAGTGTAACGGGTTGGAGTAAAAGCAAGGAAGACATTTTCTTCCGAAAATAGGTGATAAAACTGGACGAAGGTTCCTGTGTAGATGTTACGGAAAAATATTGACCTGGTAGTACCAATTGTTGTCCGAAAACTAGATCAGCAGGCGAGCATTTCAGATCTTCTTTTTTTACTTGTGTGCGAAGTGAAAGTAAGACAAAAGGTAGGTTGTCTATCCAAGAAGATTGGTTAGTAGTGCCTATGCTGGTCAAAGCAGCCTTAAAGTTGGCGGTGGAACCGCTCGACTAGTCCATTTGAACATGGGTGGTAAGCAGTTGTTGATATATGACGAGCTCCAAGTAAATTCGTAAATTCGGTGAACAACTGAGATTGGAACTGCGGTCCTCGATCAGTGGTAATGATCGAAGGGCATCCGTAAATAGAAATCCAGTGTTGAAATATGGCGCGAGCCACGGATTCAGCGGTAGTGCTATTGAGTGGAACAGCAACCGGCCATCTCGTAAATCTATCTATAATTGTCAAAATGTATTGACATCCCCGAACTTCCGATAAGGGACCCACTAGGTCCGCATGTAAATGTCGGAAACGACCATCAGGGGCAGCAAAACGACCAACTGGTGACTTAGTGTGTCTCTGGATCTTGTTTTGTTGACAAACTACACAAGATTGAGTATAACGAGTAATGTCTTTACGCATCTTAGACCAGACGAAACGGTCTGCAATTAACCTAAGTGTAGCTTTACGACCAGGGTGGGATAACGAATGGAAGTGGTCAAATATTTGTCGCCGCATGTTGGTTGGGACGACTGGTCGAGGATTACGTAGACTGGTGTCGCACGCGATATGCTTATCGGTAAAGTGTAAGGGATGATGCTCAATATGTAGTGACGAATCTCGAAGTGAGTCGAGCAAAGTTATCTCCCGTACTTGTTCATCCGCGATTTTTTTCATGTCTAAAAAAAGTATCTTGCAGGCTTCCACATAAGGATGCTCTGGAAAGTGTATCGGCAGTAATGTTATCCTTTCCTTTAATGTGACGTATATCCGATGTAAACTGAGATATATAATCAAGATATCTGTAGTCTCGAGGATTGTACTTGTCTGATTTAGTTGAAAGAGCAAAGGTGAGGGGCTTGTGATCTGTGTAGATCACAAAGTGTCTACCCTCTAAAAGGTGTTTAAAATACTTAATTGACAAGTATATAGCTAAAAGTTCCCTGGAAAAAATACTATACTTCTTCTGTGTGGACGTCAACTTAACGGAGAAGAAGGAAATTGGCAAAAGATTTAGCGTCAACATGTTGGTGTAAAACTGCGCCTATGGCGTCAGAAGATACGTCAGTCGTTAATGATAACTGAGTAGTAACACTGTCAGTGAGGCATGAAAGTTTCGTAAAGTTGACCAATGCTTTACGAGAGTTATCAAATGCTTTTGTTGTATCGTTGTTCCAACAAATAGGAGTATTTTTACGATCTTGCCCGCGAAGGATATTTGTCAGGGGTGCAAGAATTTGTGAGCAACGTGGGATGAATTGACGATAGTAATTGATTAAGCCAATGTATCTGCGAAGCTGTCGAAGTGTGGAAGGCTTCGGAAATTCCTGGATAGCACGTATTCTTTCAGGTAGGGGAGTAATACCTGTAACATCAATGACGAAACCGAGAAAGTGGAGTTGCGAAACGGCAAACTCACACTTCTCTGGGTTGATTTTTAAACCAAAGTTCTGAAGACGATCAAAGACTTGCTGAATATGTTCACGATGCTCCTGTAAATTAGGGCTAGCTATTAGAAGGTCATCTATGTATGCGAAAGTGAAAGGTAGTTCACGAAGTACCTCATCTATAAGGCGTTGGAATGATTGAGCTGCGTTACGCAGTCCAAAAGGCATACGTAGAAATTCAAATAAACCAAACGTAACGGTTTGCCTCGCGGAAAATAAGAGTCTCTGGACAGAATTCAAATTCCGGCCAAAGCAGTCGCATTCACTTCACAGCCTTACCTTTGGAATACAGTGTAACCCGGATATAAGAGAGTTCTCGGGACCGGAGAAGTCTCTTATATCCGTGTTTCTCTTATATCCGGGTTTGGTCTATTTTGTTTAGGTAAGTATGGG